TCTTGAATGAGTATGTGGGCAAAAGCTTGTCTTAACACTGTTGTACCTGTAGTTCATCTTCAGAGTCTCATGGGATTTGCATGATCTCAGAGTATGCCTTTCTATTCAAGTAGCATCAGAAAACTTGTTTTGGCAAGTGCCTGCTGCCTGGCTTTGTGCACACAACATTAAACACTTTTCTCTTTCTGACCCAAGAGCAATTTATCCTGAAGCAGAAACTAATGTGAAATAGATTGGAAGAGGTCATGTGCTGATGAATGTGAGATTGCATGCCAATGTTTGGTGTGGGGTTTTTTTGACAATTTTAGTAATGAAATCACTTTATTCTTATGAGTATATTGCTATTTCTCTCTCTCTCTCTCTCTATATATATATATATATATTTAATATTTATTTATTTATTTGTGTGTGTACACATAAATACATATATATTGCACATATATGCTACTTTATTTTGATTGACAGATTCATGTATTTGTTGTGTAATGATCAGTTCACAATTATTAATATATTTACTGCCTATTATATCTTTATGGTGGCTAAATTTAATATCAACAGTTCTGCTTTGAGAGATGCAGTCTTGTTCTCATTTATATGCAACCTACTGCAACACAGAACACTAGACAATATTCTCCCTCTTTGACCTCTATATTGCTGCATTTACAATCGTTTTTATTTCCCAAGTTTCACCAAACCAATTACTGGTAAAGTTAAAAAAACTTATACATTAAGCCTTTACTACCATAGAAAATTGTAAAACAATTTATATTCTTCTTTACCTGTGTACAACTAAGAATAGACTTAAATGAGAAAGACAGTAAGCTTTTAGAAATATTTTCAGTAAATTTTGCACAAGATTTCCATGAATTACTTCACTGAATTATCTGAACATGTCTGTATTGTAAAAATGACTACCAACTTTGCCAATACAGACAAGGATGCCAACGACTAGAAAAGTTCAGATACTTGACTAAATGCACAGAATTTGAATAAAATTAAGAGATATAAATGAATTTTTTGCTCTGGTTCAAGACAATCTGACTCCAGAAAATGTATTCTTTCAACCAGAGTTGTGCATAACACTTTGACGTCTGCCAAATCAAAGAGATTCTCTTGGCCCATGAAAAAGCTAAACTATAGAGCTGCTAAGCCTCTCCCTCATGGACCAGTACTGTGATGGGAAGCCTCTCACAATGAAGTGAGATCACATGACAATAGATCGGGTGGCAGAAGTCATGGAGACAAATTTGGAAACAGTAAACTGCCAAGGACATATTCTCACCTTCCTTTTATGAGAGATGATCTGTGTATCTCATTTCCCCAAACGAATACTTTTTAAATAAGCTCAGTTTTACGAACAAATCTGAACAAGAGTTTTCCTTCTCAAAATTATCATAGCAGAAATTAAAGTGGCAAAGTAAAGCGAGGGCAGTTCAGTTGTGACGTTTGCTCCTAACATATATTTTGAATCATGGTTTTATATCAGAATTGCCTGAGAGGATTTAATGAAGTATTCTAACACTATGTGTATCCTATCATTCCACATGGGAATTTAGGCACCGTATTTTGAAGGGGGCAGACCAGAGACATGGATATCACTTCTAAGTTTAAGATGTTGTAATTGGTAAATTATCTACAAGCATCATTTTGCTTAACTTCCAATATGTCTGTCTGTCTGTCTATCTATCTCTCTATGTATGCATGTATGCATGTATGTATGTATGAATCTATTTATCTGTCTGTCTGTCTGTCTATCTATCTATCTTCCTACCTATCTTCTGAGACTGAGTCAAGTTAAATGCCTTGCCTGAAGGTATCAAAATGTGTTTCAGAATACATTATACCACTCTGTGTGCAAAACCTTCCACAGTACTCTGTTTCAAGTTAGCCCACAGACCCATGTAAAGGTAAAATTCTTCAGAAAATATTTAATATTTGTTCCTCTACAATTACATTTTCTAATTTAAGAGTCAATGCAGAAGACAGGAGATAATTTTGATGGCGGTAGAAAAAATTTTGATTTTTCAGTGTTTCCTCATGCTTAATTAGTGATTGAACTCACTAACAAAGTATTATAGTGAACATTAAACTTGAGTTCTTTTTCATGCTAGTTTATAACTCCACAATGGGAAAACAATATCTCTTGATAAAAATTTAATGTAGACATACTGAATAGCAAAATTCTTCTGTGCCTTTCTCTGCATAGTTTCCCACTTTTCTTCATTCTGCCAGTCCTTTAAAGGTATCTTGGAATATTTCTATCTTTTATTTATTGTTTTTTTCATTTTTTTAAATTAATTTTTCAGACTATACCAATAGTAAATACATATCTCCCTTAAAGCTTTCATGTGCTCTCACAAAATATTGTAGAGTGCAATTTTGGAAAAATATAAATGAATTCTCTTGTACTTGAAGATAAGGTTCTCTGGGGTTAGAAACTTCATGTTTTTTTTCTTGTAGCATTAAAAATGCCATGGGTGAAGATAGAAAAGTCATCCCGACAAAATCTTTAGTAAGCCATTTTATATAGGAATCAAGTCCACCAGGAAGGAGCCTATGGCCTGACCAACATACAAACACCTGGTCCTTTGATGCTATCATTTACACTACTAACCTTCCCTTTTCGGGTGGAACACTTCAAACTGTGATTATTCCTAGGTCACTTAATCACCAGATTATCTTCTTAGTGCAAAATAAGAAAATTGAAAAGAGTGTCCATTTTATGTAATTGCATTCCAGTGGTCTTTTTTGGATTACTGCTGTATCTGCATAACCGATCTGTTCTCCTAATCAACCTCTTCACCTCCAAGTAAATTTGGCATCACTGACAGCCGAAGTGACCAAATCAGGAATTGACCTGGGATTGAAAAGTTTCCCTGTTTCCTACATGCAGCAAATAAAATACATATGCTGCCATCCAAATGGACCCTTAAATTGTTCCTAGCTTGAATCTCTAGCTCCACATTTGATAGCTGACTTTCCCCATCATCTCTTCTAATATTGTTTTGGAACTTCTAGCTCCCTGTCCTCCCTTCACATGAAAATCTTTCCATTCAATTGTTTCTAAGTCCATATAATATTCAAATAATTCCTATTTTATTGGTATTCTAAGTAGTCATCTTCACCAACAAGATTGATATGTCACTTTGGAAAGTGAGTCTTTGCACACATGCACACAAACCAAAATGCATTTACTCAGTGTATGGTTGAGTATGTTATAAAACTGTAATTCAAAGCACATTGTTATATTCTTTAAAACTTATAAAACATCATTCTGAGTATAAATTTTAATTTTATACAACTATCAACTACTCAGTAAATACCTTATTTTTTTCTGAGCAATATCTGTGTTTGAAAGCATCTCAAAAACATTTTCATTGACAAGATCTTGCAAGAGTTCAATCTGTTTCGATCACCACCAAGCTATACTATTCAGGTGCACCCTTTATCTCTATCAGGATTAAAATCCTCTTCCCCTGTATGCCTGACACATTAGCAAATGACTGCACAAGGCTGATAATCCCAGGCATGGCTTTGTAGCTGTCCTTGACTAAACACAGCTGCCTGGCCCAAGGCCAAAGTTCCATCCTCCTGGGCCATCACATCACCCACTTCTTCAGTCCTGCAATGTGAATGCAGATCTGGCCCCATCTCTCGAAGAGCACTACAGTTCCAAATACCAGTTCATAGCCTCATATAATCTACTGTAGCCATTGCTGTGGTGGCATATATGCTTCTGCTTGGTCTTGTTTCCTTCATTTACTTCGAGAGTCTGACAAAGGGCACCCTCCATTAAAGATTCTACAAGCAATCTTTAATACAATTCCTGAGAATTATCTGTGACACTAGCATTTTTCAATAAATCACCGGGTAACCTAGTCAGTGTTTCGTTTAGCCATTTGATTAAGAAATATGTTAAATAACGACTGTGAGAATGACTTAAAATTGAGAACAATGTTGGTCTGCCTTCATTTTCTATGATTCTAATCTCACCAGACTCTCCTTATTCTCCTATGTTTCATAAGTCATCAGACTATCCCATGATTATCTTTGTTTTTATTTATGATTGAATAATTTCTTGGGATTTCTCCTATTCATTTGTCCGTGGGAGTCTTGACATTTCTTTAACGTTTAGATTCAGTGTAATCTGTCTTAGAAACTTGTTCACGACCATTCTGTTTGTGCTAGACCAAGAGATGAGCACATGCTTGTTTCACTTGTATTCACCTGAATAGCTCAGTCAATTGCTCTGCTCCCTTCTCTCTCTTCCCTCCACACAACTCTAAGCTTCTTTAGTGCAGGGATTTGGGATTAGCATATATACTGCCGTCCAGGCAAGCTCTATGTGTGCAGTTGTTAGAAAACACAGAAGATTAATGTATGAAACGCTTTTCATTCTGTTATCCATGGGTCTAATTACCTGAGCCTGCTGACTAATTGGTGGTTCTTATCTTATTTTATATTCTGAGAAATGAAATGTGATGGAATAAAATATTCTTTTGATATTTATGTTCAGCCTTTTTTACAGCAGTCACCATTTCAAGGTACATTCAGTTGTACTTTGGCAAAACTCAAGAGCTATATGCTGTATTATGTTATTAACCTTTTGTTTCATATTTTTTTATATGATTCCTTTGCCTATTTCTTAAACCCACACAGCTCTATTAGATACCATTAAAATAAAAACTACAAAGCCATCCTAAAAAAATAGAAATGAAAAGCACCATCTTAATTCATTATTCCAACCTAGCAATTCTGTTTCTTACAATACATTTGTTATGTTGAAGTTTTGATAATGCTGTTTGCCTCTATCTTTTAAGGAATATCTATCTATTTTGATCTGTCAATTCATATCTATCTATCTATCTGTCTGTCTGTCTATCTATCTTTTTAACTATATGTGTACTCTGAGTTTATATATAATATACTTGAAATAATTTAGCACTTGGCAAAAATTAATATGCAAATTCTTACCATGTTCACTCTTTTTTTAACCTTAGGTACATCTGTCACTAATGTAACAGCCACCGATGCTGATGACCCAGTTTATGGAAACAGTGCAAAGTTGGTTTACAGTATCTTGGAAGGACAGCCGTATTTTTCCATTGAGCCTGAAACAGGTTTGTGGTTTAAATTTTAAAATCTATTTAACATGTTTTGCTTCAGGGAAACACTTGTTGGTATCTGGCTTATGAAATGTTCTGGCTAAATATTTCACTGACTATACCAATAATATTTGACTTCACACTGTGATGGACATGGTTAGCCCTGCAATCACTGATACTGATTAAAATGAATTATGAGTCTTGGGTTTGATATCACCTTTTCAGCAGATGGTCTAATACTATTTTCACCCTGGAGTAAAGGGGAAAAAAGTGCTTGCTTCAGGGGAGTTCAATATTGTATTTAGGTATAGATTCAATAACTTATTGGATTTCTGTTAAGTGACACGTCATTTCCTAAGTTTTGCATTGTCTATCTACAAAGTGGGGTTGGACCCTCCCCACACATACCTGTGTGGTAATATTAATGGTACATGACAATTCATCACACTGTTATGTCTCTATCATTGCACTCCCTTGATACCTGATCATTTGAGCTCTCATTATGATGCTTGTATAACCCAAGTCAAAACCAGCTAATATTATCAGTTCTGATTGGGCAAATGTTATAAATAAGTGCCTTATGGGGGAGGGGGAATAAAAAGAAACAAGCTAGGTAATGCTGGTCCACATCTTTAATCCTAGCTCTCAGGAGACTGAGCCAGAGGATCTCTGAATTTGAGAAAAGCCTAATCATCAGAGTTAGGACAACCAAGGCTACATAGAGAAACCATATCTTGAAAAAACAATACAATACAAAACAAAATCTACCACCACCAACAACAAAAATCAAAAAAGAAAGAAAATAAGCATTAAGCACATAGACATTGATGTCTCTTAAAAAGAGATGAAATAGAAAAGATACTCTTATGAACAATAGATTTTTATCAATGAAGATATGTATCCCTAAATACATTAACATAGCCTAAGATTAAATTTGTTCCTACAGGCTATATTAAGTCATGGGGTTTTATTTATTGCATATATAATATTATTCTATTTTATTGATGTCAATGTTGTTATTAAAAGCAGTTGTTAATAAAAGCACTTTCTATTGAATGTATCTGTCTTCTCTATGCTGTGGTTTCTGTTTTCATTTTGCTGATAAGAAACAATCAACCCACCTGTGTGTTTTTTCCTTTGCTTCAAAATTTTCTACCACTATTGAGAGCAATTCCATCACTTGTCGTTAGGTCAGCCATTAATCAAATTAAAAACTGAATTCTTCTTTGTGCTTTTCAAAATAATATAAAGAGAAAAATATGACTTGAAAAGTAAGAACTGCATTTATACATAAATAGGTCACAGATACAGAAGTAAACATAAATTTAGAAACAGGAGAGTGTACCTTGTAAAGTGCAATCAATTAAGGTTATGATTTGATGTTTTTCCCCAGTAAAGAAGGAAGTCTATTGTAAAGTTTATGTCATTTGAACCCTTGAATAACTCTGGATATGGTAGAGTAATTTATTGTTTAGAAATAAGGGGGGTCTAGATATTCATTATAATCCTCTGTCAAAGGTGTAGAGGTAGAATTGGAAGAAGCTAGGACTCCCACCTAGATCTCTGATTTTATAGCTAATATGAGAATGCTAGATTTATTTGAATTCTTCCCTGTATCCCTCACTACTTCTTTCCTTTCCTCCTTCCTTCCCACACTGCTTCCTTACTACCTTCTCCTTCTTACTTCCTTATTACCTTTCTTACCTCTCTTTCTTACTTCCTTACTACCTTCTCTTCATTTTTTTCTGTCCATGTTTTGTTTCTTTCCTTACCTTTCATAACTGGGACTCACAACCAAGAGACTCTTTCAGATTCTGACCTTAAACTTCTACTCTTTTTGCCCTTCCCAAGTCCTCGAATTACAAACATGAACCACCACTAGAGAAAGGAACCTTGAACTTCACTTTTGATAGGGAACAGCTTTGTTGGAAGGGCTTCCGTCAGAGAGAAATCCGTTCACGTGGACATATTTGCTCACCTTTTCTAGTATAATAAAGATATTAAGTCAAGAATTTTCATTGAGAATTCACCATGTGAAGTCACTGAATTAAACTTGGGGAGAAAAATGTTACAAAGGCTAGTCTCTGCTTGCAATGTCTCACAATCTATTTCAGAGGAAATGTTTTCTTTTTTTTCAACAAATATAGTAAGCATTGTGATGTCTTTTAAATAATTGATATCTGGAGTAACTGTTCTGTGGGGCAGATCACTAATGCTCCCTACCATAGAAGAAGTTTCATGGGCACATATTGCCATTTGTGTAATTAAATGATCTGAACTGCATAAATTCATAATATTTTTAGCCAGTATAATACCAACACATGCATTTAAACTTTATTATTTGGAGTTTGACTGCAATAAAATTGTCAGATATGTATTTTAGTAAGTTAATTCTGATGTTACTTTGAATAATGCTTCACAGAGAAATGATAATTAAACAATTTACATAGCAGTTGTTAAGTAAGCATTGGGCAGATGAGGGTTTCAGTTTAGCTTAAGAAGTTACAATGAAATTCAAAAGAGACTGAAAATTCAATAATCAATAAAAAATTAATTCAAATTATGTTCTTGAAACAGCAAAGCACTTGTAAAGTGTATTGATTACAGCTTCGATAGTACACAATCCTTTCTGAGCCAACAAGGGAGACTCTTATAAACATTATCTTATTTGGGCCTCACATGGCCTCGGAGAAGTGACTTCTGAATGAAATTTACACATTGCTCTGTAACTTTTCACATTATTACACTTGAGTATGATCAAATAAAAGCAAAAAGGGGTTGCTATTTCCAGGGAATCTAATTCTTATTGCTTCTGAAAAAAAACCTTCTCTCTCTTTACAAAAAAAAAAAAAAAGAAAGAAAGAAACTGATAAAAGAGATGGAGTGATGAGACTTGGAATTATATAGAAATAGAAAAATAGACATCACAGGCTATCTGATGTTTTATTTTTATTAGCCTATAGAGATGACGTCCAAGTTCTTAGAGTCACAGAACCAATAGAATGAATATGTGCATTCAATGGGGGTTCCTTAGATTGGCTTAAAGCAGACAGTTCAGGCATCCACCAAGAGCTGCTGAAAGCATGAGACCCTGCTGCCATGAGCGCAGCAGCTCTGTCGGACTTTGAGGGCCTACAGCATTCTGTAGGAGAGCTGTTGATCTCAGGTCCATATTGAATAAAGATGGGTTCAGGTACAATGAAGAAAAACCGTAACGGTAGTGGCAGTAGCAAGATGACAGGAGGTCTGACGAACTTACCTACACAACATGAAGGCAAACAGGTGAAAAACAAAAGTTTTTTTTTTTTTCTCCTACATCTATTTATTGGGGCCGCCACTGGATAGTTCTGTCCACATTTTGTGTGTCTCTTCCAAATTCAATTGAACTTTTCAGGAAAAATTCCTCACTGATACACCTAGGGGGTTGTCTGTAAATTGATGCCAGAGGCAGTTGAGGTGGAAACCAAGATGAACTATCACACAAATTAAATGCCTTTTGGTGTCGATCAGACGACAAGAATTACTTAGATACTCAGAGAAATAGACAACAAAATGGAGTTTGGAATAAAAGGGGTTTAATGGGGTTTATGATCAAATGAGTCAGGAAGCCAAATTGGCAGGGAAGTTCTTCAAGTCAGATTCTCATCAGTTAGAAAAGAAAAAAAAAAGAAGGAAGGAAGGAAAGTAGGAAGGAAGGGGGAACAGGCCAGGCAGTTCTGATAGCATTTTGAACTAATACCTGGGGATCCTTGGAGTGGTTGAAGCATCTCATATTGCACGCAGGCATCCAGGCTCTAGCATATAAACTGTGCTCAGGCATGGCTTGGAGTTATCTAGAAAGTTCTTTCTTTAATTGAGAAGTCCTATCTTATAGAACCAGTGAATGCCATGCTAAGAGTGGCAACACGCAGAGTCAGCAAATGTCAGCCAGTTACAAGGCATGTGCATTGTAAAATACACTCCATGTAACACAAACATCCAAACTGTCACCTAACTTTGACCTGGATTTAAAATCCTAGAAATAGTAAAGAAATTGCCACAAATGGACAAAAGCTTCTATAAGGACACGGTGCCTCTGAAGGCATGTGTCATTGGGAGCTTCAGTTGTCATCTTGATACAACTAGGAAGAGGAAAACTCCCTTAAAGAATGGCCTCTATCAAAGGGCCCATAGGCATGCCTTTGCGTTGGTTTCTTGCTGATTGACATAACAGGGCCATGCCCACCATGAGCGGTAGCATCCCTAGGCAGGTGGGCCCAGGCTTTATAAGAATGGTAGCTGAACATGTCCCTGGAAGCAAGTCAATAAATGGTATTCATGCATATTTTCTACTTTTATTTCTAACCACATGTTTATGTCTTGAATTCCTGTCCCAACTTGCCTTTATGCTAGACAGTGATCTGGGAATTGTCAAATGAAATAATCCCTTACCTCTCTAAGTTTATATTGTTCAGTATATTGTCGGAACAACAGAAAACCAAACTAGAAAAGCATTTTTAATGAAATATCTCTATATATGTACGCGTTTGGTCTGTCTATGATTTCAGAAAGGAACACAGCACAATTCAGTCATAAAACGTTATCAGTTATAGAGGGTTATACTTCTTCCCTTTTCCACAAGGACCTGGTCATGCTAGCCAAGGGTCAGTCAGACCTGTAGCCATAGTGATCAACACCTTGACAGAGACCATTCCCTCAACAGGATGGGCAGTGGAGGTTTGTTCAGGGTCTTTGTGAAGTCTATTGTCCTTTGACCTTTGTCAGCAAATCCTTGGTGAGAGAACATTTTCAAGAGGTTAAAAAATTCCAAAGTATAAGAGATTGAAAACCTTTACTTTGTTTTGTCCTTACAAGAATGTTAGGAGCGGAACTTTGGAATTTGAAACAGACAAATCTTGCTTCCCAGGGCTTATTACATTCTCACAATGCAGAATTAGGTTGTGCTGTCTTAATAATTTAACTTTTAATTTAGGAAGGTTCCCTCACTTATTTCAGACATCAAGACCACTGAGAGA